ACATGTGCTGCTACCTGCGTGATTGTACCTGTGTATGAGTGCTGTTGCAGACGTTAAGTAAAGTCAGTTAACCGTTCAAAGTGTGCTTGCATTATTAAGCATCTAAGGTTATAACACATAGCTGTTATCAACAATGATAAATGTGTCAGATGTTATGGAAGTTTTCAGTCCACGCCTTCTTATATTTCCGTTTACAAAAGTCAACACCTCACCAACAAAAACTACATGCTTCTGTATCTTTTGGCAATTGACACAAAAGAATGTCAGCTGCCAGAAGAATGAAGGTCACAATGTAAATATTTGTACAGAGAGTCTTATGAGTAAGTTTTCATTGTATTTCATCCATTTTATAATCACAACACGAGAATGCAGAAAGTTCAGGATTTAGGGATTATGCTAAACCTTGCCTAATCGAGGGCCTGAGTTTAGTGAATGTGAGCAAGTGTTGTTCTGAATAGACATGAATGATTGTCTTTGAACAAAGACCTCATTTGTTTTCTGCTCTTTTGTTTGCAGAAGAAAGACTAATCTTCAGGCAGCGCCTCTGGATTTGTTAAAAACTGGATTGGCTTTTATTGGGGTGTTTTGACAACAGCTATTTCAAAATTGTTTGCTCCATTGTTGTTTTATTTTAAAGAACATGTCAAAACTCCCTGCTTATTGGTTTATAGGCATACAAAAATCGTTATTTGGTGGAAAACTGTAAAATTCCCGACTGACATTTTCCTTGGTTTAAAAATTCGACCTTTTCTCTGTGACTGCAGGTAACGAAAAGCTGGCCAACAAGGCAGCGCTGTGGTATGTCCCCTGCTCTCTGCAGAATGTCGACAAGATCATGGAGGTGCCACCGATCAAGGTACATGGAAACCTGGTTGCTTTGACCTTCATGGACTGAAGTTTGGCATTTCACCTGTCAGCCTCTCTCTGTCTCTATCTGACTCTGTTCCTCTATATGGATTGGAAGAGACATGACCAGAAGTCAAGGAGAGGGAATCCATGAGAGAGGCCATCTGGTCAAGATAAAAATATTGGCATTCAACAGTGTGAAAAGTCCATCTCACACTGTCACATTGTCTTGAATGGCAGTGTGATAAAAAAAATCTTTACTTATACCACATGCACCTATGCAGAGACAGGTGTTTAAGTGGATGTTTACACGTGTGCATATGCTCATACTGTATGTATGTACGTTTGTAGTATGCTAGTGAAGAGCAAGAGGAGGAGGGCAGAAAGCGCTACGAGGCTCAGAAGATGGATAGACTGGAGACCAAAGCGAGGATTGAAGAGGTGGTACCACCTCCACCCAACCAAGGTAACATCCTACCCGAAAGGCCTCAGATCAAATCCTAGCATGCAGTTAACGTACAACAGATAATGTTCTTGCTCCCACGTGGATTAAAAGATGTTGCAAAGATCTTTCTTCTCTCTGTTATTGATGCTAATGTTGTCATTGAAAGTGTCATTATGGTTTACTCTGCAAATACTGTAATACCTCCACTTAACACAGGCACTGCACTGACCTTTTTGAGCCGAGCTGTTTCCCATTTGTTGTTGTACAATAATAGTTGTAGTAGTTCAGGTACACATAATACAGGACATCATGTGCTGTGTTTCTATATATTGTAACAGGCTACAGCACCCTGTAGCAACTCAGTGCTGTGATAATGAACTGAAGTCAAAAGCAAATACTTTCCTCAGTATAAGACATTTTATTTTAGTTCTGATAATTGTTAAATATTAATTCATATAAATTAAATTGTTCTGTTGTTACGTTGGGAAACAAGTATTTGCATTGACATATTGCTAAATACTGAGGTAAAAATAATGGCAACTGTCTATGGTCCATGGACTGTCTGACTATGTTCTATCAGTGATGAATGTACTGTGGTGCTACACTGCTAAACATTACAATAGTGCAACTCTAACATACATTGGACACAGAAAAAACTTTGTTAAATAACAATGAAGTTGATCAGAGTAGATGTATTCAATCATTATAATAGTAAAATTGATAACTGATTCTATAATTTTGTCATGTTCACTCAACTCCTCAGAGGATCTACTGAAAGGTATGTTAACTTGGCTCGGAAGGCTGCAGTGAGAAGCATGTTTGTGTCTGTGTTGGCTTGCTTGGTTCAAAAACTACACTTGCAAGTTTTTAAATACAAAATTGCAATTTTTTTCATATTTCTTTTGTTGTGTGTTTATTTGCGTTTCAGAACAACACACAGTTGGCTTCAGCCAGTCCAGTCTGATCCATTTGGTGGGCCCTTCTGACTGCACACTGCACAACTATGTTCATGGAGGTGAGTCTAACTGTTTTTTTTCCATTTCCAGATTGTAGGTTGAGTAGGTTGTTAAGTGGACAGTTGACTTTGTGTCATAATGATATAAAGTTGCAGAGTCAGTTCCGGAGTCTATCTGTAACATGGGAAATTAGGAATCTTCAACAGGCCATTGAGCAATTCTTTTGATATTAGGAATGAATGAAATGACTACCTGCAATGTGAAAGGGGTCACTCAGGGTGTCAAACCCAACCCTCTGCATTTCTACTAAGCTTTAAGCTACTTTTAGCTCATTGCTCACCATCCCCCTGTACAACTGTAGGCAGCCGTCAGAGAGCTGAGGTAAGCCAGTGACTGGTGAAGTCCAACATCTAGCAGCTGAAGAGCCAGATTTTTTTCTTAGGTCCCTAAAAGGTGTACAGTACATTATTCTAGTGGACAGAAACATTACTCAACTGGGCGCTCATGTTGGTCTGTGCCTGCTGGAGATGAAAGCAGGCATCTCTTTACTAACACGTTAACACTTGATAAACCAGTAGTATCTCAGGTCTGTGTTTCTGTGTGCTTGTTTGGGAGTTTTTTTTTAATGTGATTTACCTGAAATATTTTCCAAAATGCAGTGACCAACCTTTGTACTCAGGGAAAATAAGCTACAAGCCGATCCTTTCACTGTAAATTATATACATTTGTCTATGCAAGGAACATACAGTAGTCTCTTATGATGACTACATGTATGGGTGTGGGCTTGTTCCTTACACACCATATATTAGTGTTACACACTATATGTAACTCAAGGGGAGATATTCAAAGTACCAAATATCTAATACACTGACTTCACTGAACCACAGAGTGGTGAACTTATTTGATATATTATTCAAAGTTCAAATGTACAACCACACTGAGTGATTGATCCAGTGCTAACAGCCGCTGACAAGCTGTTTCAGGGCGCAGTGTTTCCAAGTCGCCCTCTGCCACTTAGTCTCCAAAATCTGTCAGATTTCTTTGTCACACATGTAAAACAAAGAGCTCATGAACAGCATCAGTCTATTTGGTATTCAAGGCACAGGAACAGACCTGACCATCCACGGCCTCAGTAATGTAGGAAAATCCACATCCTTGCAGGGGAGAGGATGAAACAGAGACACCTACAGCAGAGAAGAGATAGAAGAAGAGATATATATGTAGATGTTGAGGCGAGGAGTAAAGAAACGTCTATAAAGAGTGATCAAACACTCACATATACACTACACGTTCTCATGTGTTGACAATATCTACATCATTCCATCTATTCCACTATCAGCGTTGTGCTTATGAATCGCAGACAAGGTTCCTTCCTGTTTTATAGCCTTTGGCATTAACCTCCAGACTGTACGTTGGTACAGCATGTCCTGTGGCAACACAGCAGAGAAGAAGAAGAAATAGTGCTGAATTTAATCCAAAGTGAAATGTCCTTGAGAGAGAATTGTATTGCTTTTAGTACAATTTAATACTTATGTCCTCCTAAGTGAATGGATGAGGGATGCAAGAATAAAAAAAAATGTATGTTCTGTAATGTCTTGCAGTTTTTGGGATTGAGTGTGATTGTTCTGTATTCGAGTGTGTGTGTGTGTGTGTGTGTGTGTGTGTGTTCACTGTTGCGTTGCTGAAATAACTGCTCGGGTTGTTCTAATTCTGTGACTTGCATTGACAGCACTCTGTGCTGTTATGAGCATGGCTGTAATGGTAAGGAACAGAATGACAAGGATAAAGCAGAAAATAGACATCTAGAACAACAAATGGGAAATAGAATGTAGAATAGAAATTTATGGTGCTGATGCTGTTTCCATTTCTGTGCTTTGCTGACAAGCTAGACGAGTCAGAGGCTGATGGGGGCCTATCCAATCATCTTTTAGTAGGAAACATATTTTATTTGAATTTTGAATTTAAAAAATACATTTGCAGTATTTATTACAATTCTTCTGTACACATTCAAAAAGCCCTTTTAAATAGAAGCATTGTATGAAGAAGAGAAGAAGAGAGAAGCTACCTGTTATCTTTTTGTTCTTCCCCCTGAGCCCTTTTCCCCTGCTAGATTTGATCCAGATTGCTAAAAACTAAGTTTACAAAATGCAGAGTAAACAGTACAGAAAGCAGCAAACTAAGATGTAAAATAAGATAAACAAATAATTTCATGAGTGTATTTCCACATTTGATGGTTTAGCCACCCGCAACCAAAAACTTGCTTATCTGATGTCCCAAACAACATAAAAAGCAAACCCTGACTGGAAACCTTTCTGGCTGCATCTGTAACAAATCCCACATTTTATCAGCATAGAACAGATGCTTTTTATCGGTCGAGGTGTATTGTTTCTGGCAGGACATTCCTGCCTCATACTGCCATTTGTATTGAGGTCAGCTATGTAAAGAGGCCATCAGAAAGACACCAGATAGTGAGGAAGAAAAACAGAGGAGAGATGTTGACGGAGAAAGAGACGGAGTGAAAAGGAGACAGGACAGGACGGCAGGATGGGAGGAGGAGGAGGGAGCAGGGTGGGACCGATAAGTGTCGCACGTGTCATGGTTGCCTCTTTAATTTAGCGAGCTCTCTGAGAAATCTGTCCAATTAAAAATCAACTGTGGAACAAGCATGCAGGTCATTTAGAATACACACACACACACACACACACCGCTGCTCTCTCTGTACATGCCATTGCTCATTAGGCAATGTTCCCTGTTGTTCGCTGCTGCTGCTTTCACTACACTTATTTTGTTTACATAACCGAGTCAGGTCAGGCACCCAGGGTGCTCGTGCTCTCTTTCTCTCTTACTGTGTCTTACTCTCTCGCGCTCTCCCTTTCTCTATATACTGTGGTTGGAGAAAAGCAAACTGACTTCTAAATGGCAATGACGGGCTATTCACTTACTGTATTTCTCTCCTTTTGTGGTGTGGAAAAATGGCCTACTTAGCTTAAGCCTAAGGAGACATGAAGCACATGAACATTCAAGTACACGCATGCATGTACATGTTCACATTGTAAACGGACAGAGTGGACGCATATGTGAACAATTCGTACTTATGTTCTCTATGAAACACCGTCTCTTTGGGTTTGATCAAATATGCCATAGATGAATCCTGACTGACTGACAGCAGATGGTAATAGCACAGCCGCATGTGACACCACATCTATCCAGCCACAGATTTGACAATTATGTCCAATACCATCTATTTGGTCAGGAATGATTTACAGTTAGTACTGGATCTGATTCTGCATTGTGCGGGCATCACATTCTTCATTTAGCAAGTCGTTTTAAATTATTTATCTTCTAAAGACAAACATATCCTTTTCACCACAATAAAACATACTTTCTTACTCACCTCTAGTGGTATCAAGCCATGCAGATACTTTGCTAAGGTTCTGAGATATCCATCTCTGAGGTTCATGAACAGTTTTCTTCTGATGAAATAGGCCCTGTGACAGATGTCTACAGTGAGGTCTGTGGATGATCCAGAGTATGTCTGAAATCACAAGTTACTGTTATTAAATGTCATTTTTCACTGGCTTCAACAATCAATTCCTTTTATCCCCATATAGTATAATTTGGTGGCAGCAAGAGTTTAATGAAAAATATCTCTAAAACTGGTCACAGAAAAACAAAACTGCATGCATGGCTAGATACCATCAGGAGTGAGTGATATATATTTTTGTGATTTGAACTAGGGCTGCACAATTAATTAAAATATTATTGAAATCACAATATGGCCATGTCTTAAATCTAAATCACTGAAGCTGCATTATAATGAAGTACTGGAGTGCTGCAGAGATGCTCTGGCCAACAAATCTTGTTCTCCAGATGTAAGAAAGCATGGTACAGACCCCCCAAAACGTACATTATTTTCAATGAAAATTAAATTTGCGATGCAAGACTGATCATTCCCACACTAATCGTGAATCATATCGCAAAATCTGTCAGAATAATCACAATGAGATTTTTTTACCTTATCGTGCAACCCTAATTTAATCTGTTGTTGATTGTGGGGAATGGATCACATTTGTGGAGTCAACATTGATCAATCAATTAAACATGAATGCGCTGGTTGGCAGTAGAAGAGAGGAATATCCCTCTGATAAATACCCAAGATGTTTACAAAGCCAGATGTTGTGGGGTCAAGGCCTGCGACTGTTGATCTTCAAATGACAGACAGCTGAGTCAGTAATGAAAGTCTCCAATGTGCTGAACAAAAGCTTGGGAATTTTCTAAATGTTGGAAAAAGATCAGAAACCTTTAACTCAAGGCCTTTAACTCAACATTTCTTTTTCTTTCTCTCTCTTACGCTCCTTTTCTTTGTTGCTTAGTCTTTCCCATTTGCCTACCTCTCCTCATTATCTCATGCTCTCTGTTCCTTCTCTCCCTACCCGCTCCCCTCCTTCCTTCATGTGCTAAGGAAGCGTACCACCTGTTTCCATGGAAACAGCAGTTGATTGCCACAGGTGGACACAACTGCGGTCTGATTAAAACAAATGGAATGGAAGAAATAAGATAAAAAAATGACATACACATCGCTACATGTTTTGATGTGTCTTGCATGAACGGCCCTGTTCTGAAGGTTTCATGTTTAAGATGCTTTAAGTTTATTTTAGTTGTGCACAAACAAATATTGGTGGTCAGCGTGTGTGCTATTTTTTGCTATTTTGTTGGTTCTCTATTCGTGTGCACACTTGTTTTCACTTTGTGTGCAGATGTGTGGCAAACCAAATCCGTGAGAGGTGTAGTAAATACAGACGTGTGCCTATGAAGTGGTTAGTGTGCATTTAATGTGTGTGTGTGTGTGTATGTCTGTGTGTGACAGAGTTGAGACAGGGATTGCCTGAGCACAGGAACACATCCATCACTGTGGCTCTATATTATCTGTCCTCTGCTCTGATCTATGCTCAGTGGGTATATAAACATGTCACTGGATGAGACAGAGGAATTCAGGGAGACAGGGATATGTCCACTGGAGCTTGTGTGATCGACCTTTGTGAGGACTGTGTGTGTGTGT